AGATGGCCAGTTACGGGCTGCAGACATACAACAAAATAAGCAGAAATGCACAGTGACTTTACAATCATGACAGTCACTGATTATGGTTACTTGAGTGCACTGGACGTTTGTTTTTTTTCTAACTGAAGGCTGCGGCATATGCAATATGAAATTGAATATTGATTGTTTGTGTATGCAGCTTCCAGAAAAGATAATATTTTCTTAGAATATCTAACAAATTGGAGCGATTGGAGCAGGTAAAGACAGAAACATTAAACAGAGGAATGTAGTTGTCCGCATCACGTCCGTGCCAACAAGGATGTAGCGCTGAAGTAAAGCTAACATGCTCTCCGATTATTCAATGGTTATCGCTGCTACCAAAACGTCACACAGACTAGCGTCAACGACGTTAATGTTTCACCGCTAAGTTACATGCTTCATCGAACAATCCATTATGGCAAATAAGCTAAACAGCAGACAAAGCAATCTGAATTCTGGCGTAATTCGAACCTGAGTATTATGCACAGGCGGTTGGACACTGATAAAAGCTGTATAAAGGATCGCGAAGCTAAATGAGAAGCATACAACACTACCCTGAGGATGAATCCTTCCATTTAGACCTGTGCTCCGTGTAGTCATCTAGCCAACGGGTCCCTGTGGGAATGTCGCAGTCAAATAAAACCCTTTGTCTCCAGCTAACCGTGCACCTTTGCCTCTCCACGGCGCCGGCCGAAATGCTGCAACTTACAACGTTCAGTCTCCACGAGCAAACAAAATACTTGACATCTGCATCAAGCGCCGCGGCCACCGCCCGCAGGAGTTATTTTGTGGTCGGCTGCTTTGTCAGTCCATATTTTGTGCGGATCTAAAAGCGAGGAAGCTGCCTCAATATGGAGATCTCAGGTTCGGGCAAGCTGATACATGGCGTATTGATGCGTATACTGTATAGACTGGTGAATCATGAGTCGAAGAGAAAAAGGCTGGAAAAGGTAGGTAGATGGAAAAGTAAACACGAGTAGATAATTAAATATTAACTAACTTACAAGATGTTTGTAACTCTCATCACTAATACCTATATTATTATTTAGTTACTTAGGGATTGTTTCCGCCGTCCCAGCATGTGGCCTTGTTCTCACCGAAGGTCACGGGTAAGTACCAATATACAAGTATTCACGTACCGAAACATGACCCAGAGTCACGTGACTCTTTCCCGAGTGGCATCACGTGTCTCTGCCGTGAGTCACGTGTCTGACTGCGGTGTGGGACGCTCTCAGATAGCCTGACCGACAGTTCCGTCGTACCGGCGGCCATCAGCGCTGCCCCTGAAGCCGATTCTGAGTGCCCACACAGCCAGCGCGCTGAAAATGTGGGCTATTTGTGTGTGAGGGCTGACATTTGAGGGCCGCTCCACTCTCCAGTGCATTACGGTGGAATATGTGGGACGCGATGGGGCTGCACATCGGGCTGGCTGGGAACTGATACGCCAGTGAGCCGCTGGCTGACCGGACAGAGCATTGGCGTGGGTGGACTCCGCGACAGCGACACAGTTGGGTGGTATTTACGCGTCCAGGTCAAGGCCACGCCTGCAAGTTTACTCCCTAGATAGCAATGGCATATCATATGATTTTTTTTTTGTGCAGGATAGCTTGCGGTCATCAATGCGCTCCAAGAAGGACAGGCGCCGACCCGTCTTTCGATTAGAATTTAGGTAGATTGTAGCAAATGACGAGACAAAGGTTCATGTAAAAGTGGAAGTGTCGCAAGAGCTTGTCTCTTAATTTGCTTTCCTTGGCTCAACTAGTTTGCGGACGAAAACATTGCTCGCAGGAATGCTGGACAGTGAAATTTCTGTTGACGTCGAACTTTTAACATGCATTATAAGCCGGGCAGCCTAGTTGACCTGTCCGTCACCCAGGCACAGTGGAGCTGTCGCCCGGCCGCGCCGTCCGTCATAGGTCGGCTGCCCGCGCCGGCGGCGGTTGGCCGTGTCGCGCTCTCGGTCCCCATGACTGTCACCGGTGGCGCTCCAGAGTCGCTCTTTATGACGCGGCCGGCCGTATTTTGGGCGGCCGGCGCGGCCCCCGGACAAATGGCGCAGGGGCGGCGGGTGGCGCGCGCCGGCCGACGGTCATCGGGCCGCGGTAAAACGCGCCGCCCGTAATGGCGCCCGGCATCAGACACTTTATGAGATGTTTGGTGTGCTTTCGCTGTGTCTCTGACCTACTTCGTTAGAATTATGAGCGCTGATGGGCTTCTTTACTGCAAGCGTAACGTAAAAGATGACGTTTAACTTTGTATCGCTTCACGGGACAGTTAGCGACACGTTCAATACATGTAGGCAAAAGTGACCTGCGTGTTTCCATCTTTCATTGTGAGTAGATGTGCGTAGTAACGTGGAATTTATTGACACAATTTTTCGTAATAGAACACGACGTCTAGAACGATATCCACACGTTTTAAACCTGCACTTTGCGATTAAACGAAGCACCTCCGCCATTTCATTTGACATGCACCGATTTATATGATTTAGCACAACCTGAATCAATCAACCTTCTTCTTTCTTATTAAAGCACTCTTATTAACAAATGCCGCATGCGGCAATAACATGTGATTGTTATCACCTCAGTGTCTGATAAGTGTGACACACTGTGCTGTGACATTTTCGTTTTCTGATGGTAACATATAATTATCGTAATAGTTGTATTTCATAAACGAGGGAAACAAACGCAGTCCTTCTTTGCTTTCCTTATTTCGTCTTTTCGATGTGGTGAATATGTAGTAAAGGCTTCAATTAAATTGAATTAACCGTTGTTACTGTAACTGTTACGTATCATTTCTTATACAGAAAATTATTTATATTATCCAAGTCCCACAAACGTATACCATCATTGCCATTATAAAATGTCCATCTTCTGATGAAAAACTACTTTTCGTTTTTTATTCATTTTCAAAATATAAACTGTTTTTGAATATCTGACAAAGCTTCTTACAACAAAAACTTTTTTTTTTGTAATTGTAAGCACATATTTTTCAAAATTTTCAAAATTTAGAAAATTCGAGATAACAGTTTGATAGCTACGTGCATTTGTAGTCTACCCATGCAAAGGAATGGGATCTAGCTTAAAAACTGAGCTCTTGAAAAACGTTTGCCGTGATCCAATACTTTGCATCAAAATCGGCCGACATGACGTCACTTTGACGTCATTTCCGGCCAAACTGTGGTAGGTAGCCAGAAAGTTGAAATTTTAACACAAGGTGTCAAATTGATGTCCCTAAGGGTACCGCAAGTTTCGTGTTGATCCGTCAAATAGTTTAGAAGATATTGCAGAAAAACCGGAGGAGGGCTCTTTAGAGCCCCTTCCCTCAGTCATGCGCGGGTTAACTTTCTTAAGTATACATACATATGTAGATAACTGCTGCTTTGCCATGTTTATGTTTGGTAAAATATGCCCGAGGATTGCCCATACCCGCAGCTCTGGGTATCAGATGGGGTATTCGCTCAGGTTGAACGCCATACCTTTTTCTAATGGGGCATAGCTAGGCATCTTCGCCTGTCTCGACACCCGATCGAAACTGGTGCCGGTTCCTGATAGGTCACTCACCTGCTGTAAGAACGTCAACAAAAGCCAAATGACATTTCCAAGGGACACATTCATCCAACTGCTATAAAACTGTTTGAGCCAGTTAATGGAAAGAATGCTTTATGCTCGCTGCTTGATAAACTTTGAATAGTGTTTTGAGAACGCCTTATAACCTATGGATTGTTTCTTAGAAGACATCCCCGGAACCGCTTTGAGGTAACTTAATAAAAGTCGACTTTCTGCCTGCTCACTCACCAAAACGGTGATTGTATTGTTCCAATGGCTAGCCCACGTCAACTATGCAGCTAAAAACACGCTCTATAATTTCCGTTGTGTAAATGTGGACAGGCTGTGCTTGCTGACCGCCTTCTGAGCCAGCGCGGGTCGCTGCGCGCTGAGCGTCGCCTAGCAACTGTGGGACAGCCTAACTGCCGGGAAAAGTCCTCTAGCTGACCTAGGCCGGCTGTTCCCTTCCCCTGGACAAAGGACAGACAGACGGAAAGAAAGAGAGGGGTCTTAATTAACCTGGCCACGACATTTCCACGGCCGATAGCCACATGCGCTCAAGTTTTGTTGCTGATTAATAGTAGAAACCCGCGGATGAATGTTTATTTTAACTATGTGAAACGCACCATACCAACGTTTGTGCAAACGTCGTTTGTATGTGTGTTTGTAAAGAAGAACACAATCAGTGAGAAGTGTTCCCTGCTGTTTTCTGGCTTTTCAAGTACTGAAGCTATGCACCACCCTTACTTTCTCTCGCCAGTCAGCTGAATAAAAGACATTCAGCCGCCAACACAGTCGCGAAACAGAGACGTTGCCATTAAAATGCGAGCTTTGATGTGATCTCAAGGCCTTTGGTGCTATTTTCAGAGATAGGCTGCAGACAAAACATGCTCAAATATTTGTTCGACTTCCCTTTATCACATAATATGTTTGCTTCGAGAGCTTTGTCTTTCTGCTGCAAACTTAGATCCGCAATCTAAGGTCTGGTAAGATCCGGGTCGTTCAAAAGAGCACGGAATTGAATAACGACATTTCAATCCAACTTGTGTACGGGAAATATGTATCCTTGTCGAAAAACATCAGGGCACCATGTCATCTGAAGTGCTATTGGGACTGACTGGCCGGGAGCCAGAACCAGCAGCGTCGCTCCGACCAATTAGTTTAGTGACATCTCGCCGAAATGTCATGATGACCTCTGTCTGTGTTCCGCCCTCATGTGTATGTGTTTGTCCTTGCTGACCACAGTTCACCCATATGACGCGCCAGAGCTTCGAAGGTGCCCGTCCGTCCCTCCAGGCCAAATTGCACTAAGTCGGCACTTTTTCTCTTGTAGTGCTCGTGCGTCCCTTCTGAGTTTTGGTTTAAGTTTACTACCTTGGGACTGAGTCTACATTTTCTCCTAACTGCACTAATGTGTCCCCGTTTCTGTTTCAGTGCCCTTGTCGACGGTGGTGGGTCTGGCTGGGGGCGAGGTCGCCCTGCCCTGCGACATGTCCCATTCTCCCGGCGATACTGTGCTCATCGTGCTATGGTACCGCAACGGATCCGACGCGCCCGTCTACAGGTAAGGCGCAAAGAGGCACCCGTCTATATGTACAGTAGATCATATGCAAAGGTTTTAAGCAACGTGCGAAGACCCGCTCGCCTACAAGTGGCACGTAAATACGCCTTTGTCTGGATGATGATGTAAATAATAAACAAATTATTACAAATGCATTCAAATATATTCAAAAAGACACACAAAGCTTTCGGTTCATGGAACCTTGATCACTGTGCAAAAACAGGTTTTAACCCGCGACCGCCTGGGGGGGGGGGTCGGATCCGACCCCCCCTCCGTTTTTCTTGAATAACTCATGAACCGCTTTCGCTATCTACTTGAAACTTGGCATACCTTCTCCCTAATCAATTTGACGTCTCCTGGGCAATATTTAAGAAAAAATTACCAGAAATTTTTTAGATATATCGATTTTAGTGATGTAACTACATGGCTTTTTTAGTCAAAAAGTGGTAAATGTTTAAAAAATCGCCAAAAATTAGGGCTTAAAGCAAATTGCAAATTAAGGACATGAAAAGACGCAACTCAACGAGTTCTTTAAAATGGCTATCTCGGATTTTCCATAAAATGCGTTTTTCACCCCTAAAAATTCAAAAAACTATATTTTTTGGAAAACAGCTAGTAAAACCCAAAATTTTGGGAATTTCTAAAAAACCGGAATATATGTTGTAGAGCTCTATTAGAACATTAGATGCCCCAAATTTCAACTTTCTATCATGATTTTTGACCCCCAAATTGTAAAAAATAGCTCCAACATGCATAGGGCATGGTGACGTCATAAGCATTTTCGTGAATTAGAGGCACTTCTGAACATCGCATGTGAAAACAAATGGCACCACTAGATTTCTGGGACAAAGCTCGTCTAGAAAAGTGCATTTTTATGTCAAAAATAAAAAGTTGAAAAATTGACTTTTTTTCTTAGCCCTCGTTTAGTTATGTATGGTATAAACGATTTTTTATGCTTTCAATGCACACTTATCACCAGAACAGTGACTTGGGGTCACATATAACCATTACCATCGGATTCGGCGTGAAAAATAAGTCATAAAACACGTGTCGCACGCCCATGTAGCAGAAATTGAAAACCGTGACCTTTCGTGACCTGACCTGACCTTGACCCGTACTTAGTATGACCCCTATACGTACATGGTACCTTCACTAGGCCTTTGAGGTCATTTTTGGTGAGTTTCGAGCAGCAGCTATCGATTCCGCTGTCCGTAAGCCTAATCATGCAAAACCCCTGAATTTGACCTTTGACCTGACCTTGACCCGAAAGTTGACCTCAATCTTAAAATCTTAAGAGTGCTTTGGGAAGGTCTCGTAGAGACCTTTCGAACGCCGCCTCGCGGGGCTCGATACGACCATTGGTTCTCGAGATAACAGGGGGGGGGGGTCGGATCCGACACCCCCCAGGCTGTCGTGGGTACGGAAATAGCCCAGGCGGTGCCGGGTTAAGCATTGTTGATAATGTGCAATCCCTACAGGTAACGCGCACATACGCTCCCGTCTATAGCTAGGTGAAAACTACGCTTACATTCAAAAGTAACATGCGAAGACGGCATACAACGCACGGCATCCCGACTCGGCGGTGGACACCATGGTTGTTTCATCCGCTGCCGCTAGATGGCACTAGTGATCGCCGCCTGAAGCTACACTGTGCCGCATGGCTCGGGCAGCGGCGCGGCGCCCAGTGGGATGTGTGGGGAGCAGTAATTGGAATAGTGCGGTAGTGGAAACAGACCTAACGTAAGCGTTGCAACGCCGCTAATCCTCAGTCAGTTCGTATTGGTATGAATAAACATTTCACTATATTCGTAATGAATATATAAGAATGTTATACCTAGATATCAATGCATGCTTATCATTGTGCTTTCCTGACAAGCTCGACTTTCGTGATGTGCATAATGGTTGCTGCGGTGTCTCTAGCAGCTGCTCGAAGCATACCGACGCTGTTTGATGTTCTATTTGACTTGAGAATCACATTGGACGGTAATTACATGCATATTTCGCAGTCTAATCTGACTGTTACTAACAAAGCCTGACATATGCGGCTGAGATGCTTTTATCCAATTTACAGTGCCATCATCAATACTAAGAAATTGGAGCTCATCAATTTCCATTAGGAGCTTCCAACTCATCGATTGTTCCATTAGTGACTAGCCAGTGCCTCATTGGGACTATCATCCGTTCATTAGCTGAAATTCATGAATATTTTGCCGAGAGCGTTGGCTTTAAATTTATCTCCGTTGCGCGATATGTCCAGTAATGTTGTACAATCCCTGCAGCCAGCTGTGTTTCCGGCGCTCGACTGATATATGCGCGACTGCAAGGTGTTCGTTATGTCGTCTCTACATTGGCTGGCTTTTGGCGCATACATTATTGCACCCTCGAAACAGTGCCTCATATCTGAACGTGCATCACATGAAATCAAATAGTGAACTTACCGGAATGAGCCCGTTCAAATATTGATATCATTCGATCTGTAGAATGATGACGTGCCATTTCTGCAATGTGTAAATGTGTTCCTACAAGCTATTGAACGCTTCAAATTGAATGGCAACAATGTAAATTTTGAGCCATGTGTGGCTATCGCGATTAACCCCAACAAAAATGATTGATCATTCGGAAACATCCTTTAGGCTTTAGGCCGTTGTAATTTCGTGTAGCACTGCCACGTGCGTAATGGGTGGCTTTTCACGTCAAGTTTCACCCTCCCCCTGAATTAATGTTCTTGAAGTTGAGTTAGGTTTTCCAGCAAACTATTAAGAAACTGCACCTTCATACAATTACTTAAATTGTACGCATGGGAATAAAACAAGTTTCTGTATGACAATTCTTTCAGAATAAAGTTTCCAGTCTCAACCTTTTGTATATTTTCGTTTTCGTTCAAACCATCAGCCTGTAACTTTTCATTCTATACTTAGAGTGGTGTATGTAACGCTAAAAAAACAGCAGCACGCAGGCTGTCCGCTGCCGAGCGGCCGCTGCCGGTGCGGCGCGGCCCAGTCCGTATTGATCCTGCTTTTCCATGTCAACTCTCATTAGCAGGTGCCGCCCACAGCTTCAGCACGCGCTAGTCACACCCATTACCACGTGCCGCCCCTCCTCCCCTCCCGGGGCCGCCCGGCGCCGGCGCCACCGATCTATCTGATGATCAGTGACGCGGCGCAACATAAAAGCCCGCTCCCCGCATCATCGCCGACGTCGGCGGGCCGGTCGGCGCGACGCCGGCGACACGCCGTTCAGATGTCCCATCTGCTCTGAATGACATCCGGACGACCAGGTCTCACCCTCTCCTGGCCAGCGCCCCGCCCCGCTCCGCCCCGCCCCGCCCCGGCTGCCCGGCGCGGACGGTACGGTGCTATGCAGATGAGTCTGGCAGCGCCGTCCGTTTGGCAGCGGCACCACTCCGGTCACTGCGATTTATGGTGCCGTGAGGCGGCGATTCCTCAGTAGCGCGGCGCGGTGACGCGGCCGTCCGGCACCGCGTCGTCGCCGACAGAGAATATTTCACGTGTCGGTCGCGCGGGCGGCACCGCGTCGCCGCGCCGGCGGAACAAATTGTCCAGGCTGATCGAGTGGAGGTGTCGGGCCGCGGCGGGGCCATGCGCCGCGCCGGCCGGCGGTCACTCAGCCGGCGCCGCTATCTCTGCACTCTGCGGTCGGCTCGCCGCTATCGACATAAGTCAAACGCGCCGCGCCGGAGACGGACGGTGCCGGCCGGGCCCGCTCGAAATAGCGCCGATAAAACGTGCGACGGCCGCCTCTCACAGGGCGCCGTGATTGACCCGTGCTTAACCGGGACTAAATCGGGAGATTCTGAGGCAACTGTAGCAGCACGTATCCCGGCCAGCCAGCTGCAGCCGCTCCCAGTCCGAGCAGGAGCCGTGATGATCGAAGCCGCTGCAGCAGCTGCCATAATGATCGAAGCAGCTGCAGGAATCGTCTAGGTCAGAGTAGCTGCAGCAGAAGCCATGATGGGTGAAGTCGCTGCAGCAGCCGTTGGATGGTCAGGACCAGCTGCAGCAGCCGTCTGGTGGCGGCTACAACCCCCGGGCAGCCAACGCCAGCCAACGGCCGTCCAGGGTCCGTGCGGCTGTCTATAGCCAGGGTCCACACTTCACACTGCAGCAGATGTCTGCCAGTCAGCTATCGCAGCTCTGGAAGCAACATTACGTCACCGACCATTCAGCACATATTTTCCATTCCATTTCCTCAAAATGCGTCCATGCTTTGCCAGAAGTAGGGATACAAATGCGGGGATGATGCAATGCGACGCGACAAAGCTGTTACCGCAGTAAAAGCATGCTGATGTTGCACCAAGTTTGGCGGGCGGCGGTATTCAGAAGTATTGAATGGATTCACATCATATCCCTTATTCAAAAGATGCAAAAGAATTTCTTACTCCGTTTTCAAAAGCAGCGTTATAAGATCGCATATAACAAGATCGGAACGGTTGTTTCGCCAGCGTTTTCTTGCAGTGTTTGAAGCTCAGAGGGCCCTCGAACTCAGAGAGTCCTAACGATCGGACCTAGCCAGCGCGCGTTGGCGTGGGGTCCGTTGGCGCCGAGGTCCGCCAGCCAGGGGTTCCACTGGAGTGGTGACCAGACTCATGGGGCGGACGGCGCACCGACACCCATGCCGCCGGCCAGAGTGCGCCTGATGCATAATGCATGCGCCCTGCCGCACTGCAGGCCACGGCCATAGCGGCCCGGGGGGCTCGCAAACGGCGGCCCCGAGCGGCGATCGGCCGCCGAATTTTAGCTGGCTTGGAGACTAGCTGGACCCGCCGGCGCCGCGGCGGACTGTCGCCACCCGTACCTACCTCCGCCGTCCTGTCGTGTCCTCGTAATGTCGTCACTATGTCCTCCTGGTAAAGTGCCACTTCACACTGCCAACTTGGAAGTCGAATGGTAGTATTTTTCAAGTGGCAAGACTTGAGACCCAGTAGCACACTAGCCTATCGCCGTCGTTGTTATCCATTCCGCACATTACAAGACCATTCAAGT